TCTAAGACTTTAGGTCCAATAGAACCTTTTCTCTTTGCAAGTTGACTCTCTCAGGTCTTTGGTACTGTAAGGGAAAGCTGAGTAACAGAATCATTTTCTAAAATAGAAATCCAGTTGTATAGAGATTTTGTATTTCTTTCCAATGAATCCCTCAACCTTGAAGTCTACATTTTTTTAGCAGCCATGTAAAGCCCTTTCTGGCCTTGCTCTGTCTTCCGCTTCCTTCACTCCCCAGTCAATAGCAAAGACCCTCACGGGTACCAGAGTTCTCAGGTTCTCAAGTCCCTGTGTAAAACGGGTCCTACAGCAGATAACATACATACATTCTTCCTTATTTACTTATTTTCCAGTGTCTGACTATATTACCTAATTTGACTTTGAGCTCCAGAGCTCAAGTGTCCTTCTTGCCTCAGTCCCAAGTAGTTAGGACTACGGGGGCATTCCATGACACACTGCTCTGTGGCAAACCACACCAAGCTCCCTCATGCTACCGATACCACTATGCTATGCAAATGACTGTTCTATTGAATTGATTAGCGAATAGTGACAAGGAAAAAGCATGCACATGCTCTGTTCCAGATCAAGCTTTCTTCCTGATTATTTTGAAAGTGTGGCTGCTGGCGCTTGTGGCTACAGAACCTACAGACAGGATCTATATTCCTAAACTGCCATGTTCCCACACGTCAGGGCTTTACCACATTGCCCCCTCTTCCCAGAATATCCTGACCTGCACAATCCCCCCTCTTCTCCTCTGGGAGGTTTTCCTGACCACCTTTTCCTTCATTCAGAGCACACTGTCACTCGTAAGGTCTCCGCTGTCCTAAACAGGATAAACTGTATCTTGCGTTTCTTGCTGTCATGTCTGGTAGTGATCCTGACGCAGCGTGGGTGCTGAAGTGTGTGCTGAAGGCATTGGATAGAGAGGTGAGGCTGCGTGGAATGTTAAGGCGTCTTCCTCCCACTGCTGGCTCTGTCACTTCCATTCTGTGAAGGTTTTGTATTGACAAAGCTTAGGGCAAGAAAAGCTTTAAGCCGAGAAGTGAGGGTGTAACTCAAGTAGGGCTCATGCTTAGTCCTCTGTTCAACACCTAGCACCCAAAGAAGAAAGAAAGAAAAAAAGCAGCTTATACCAATAAAATCAGTTCTCTTCAATTTTTATAAAATTACTTTATTTTAAAGATTATGTATGGAATGTTGAAAGGGGACTATGTGCACAGTAGTACTGGTGCCCTGGGGTTGTACATAAGTGGCAGGTCCCTCTGGAGCTGGAGTTATGGGCAATTGTGTGTGCTAGCGACCAACCTCAGGTCCTCTGGAAGAGCAGTGCGCATGTCTCCAGCCCATCTCCTATGATTTTCCTTGGGGAAAGACTCATCCACTGATCTACTCAACCATCCACAAATTATAGGAACCGTAACATACTTTCCCAAGGTGAGAGCCTGTGTTAAACATCAGGGATTCACAGCTGAGGAAGAGCTAAGTATACAGGAGGAGAGGCAAGCAGACATGTCCTAACAAGATGCTGTGCTAGGAGCTTCCGTGGAGAAGGGACGAGGAGGAATGCTGGCTGAGGACCTCCCCTTTTCTCCAGCCTCTCGTAGCTCATTACTCCTGGGTTATAATTACCTTTGACTGTGTTCCTCGCTCCCACTACAGGCAGACTTCCTGGCGCACAGAGACTGATCTTTGCCTTGCATTTATTCAGCGTTATTTATTAGATGCCTAGCATATGCAAGGCCCTTTTAGGATCTACAGCAACTGTAAACAATAATAATGACTCAGCATGAGCCTTTGTGGGGTTCACAGTGTGGTTAACACAAGGTTTGGAACATAATTGAATAGGAGGCCTTTTTTAATTTTAATTTTTAAATTTGTTGTGTGCGTGTGTGGGCATTCGTGTGTGCACGCATGTAGGAGAATGCGTTTGGAATCCTGAGGTCAGCAATCCAGATACACCATCCACACCGTTTCTTGAGACAGGTTTCTGACTGGCCTGGATCTTATCAGTTAAACGAAGTTCATTGATCAAAGAGCCCCGGTGGTACCCTCTCCACTCTCCAACTCCCCAACACTAGGATTACAAACATTTGTGTTCAATTTTCCCCCTCCCTCTTCTCCTCCCTCCATTCCTCCTTCCTCCCTCTCCTTATTAACACAGGTTCTGGGGGTTGAACTCAGGTCCTCAATCTTCCAAGACAAGCAAGCCATCACTCTACTCCCTTGGGGAGGCATTTAAATGAATAAAAAGTAGACTTGGAGTAAAGTCTTCAAATGTCTGGAGAGCAGCCATGGGAAAGGACATTAATTCAAGGCTACTTCAAGGGCAGAGCTAAGGCCAACGCAGAGCTTTAAGAACTGGTCGTGAAAAGTGCTGGAGAGAGGAGGGTGGCTGCCTCTCCACCTAACTTGCTATTGGCAGAGACCCCCTTCTCTAAGACTGTGAAAGCCATGGGGACTCCTAGGAAGTATTGCCATAACAGAGTGTGCAAGAAGACACCACTAGTGGAATCCAGTATTCGGCCAGAGTTCTAGACCCAGGGTAGAAAAATATTCATCATCTCCCCAGATGGCCATGAGTGGAATCAGCTGATGTGCAGGACGCTCACTCCTGGAGCCTGGCAAACTAGTAGCAAATGTCGTAGGCGGTGGCTCTCTTCTCCCACAGGTTGCCAGTCACTGGCTGTGTGTAGATCAACTTGAAGGGTGCTGGGCAAGACGAAAACAAAGCAAAAGGACAGATTAAGGGGCGAGGAAATAAAGCCACATCTGAATTAACAATCTAACTGACAAAGCAGCAGAATTTATCCATCAGAACACTGATCACCGGCTTTGTGGGCGGCTTTTGCCAGGCCTTGCATCTTAAGGGCTTGAAGGCTCTATCGACGTGATCCAACTGTGCGAAGAGGAGCGGTGGTGGAGGGTGACTTCTCCACAGCGTGTGCCGCCAGAGTCCGCAGAGTAAGGAAGGAACAACCCGCTAGACAATAGCAGAGGCAATAGCTTAGCGTTTTTTACCATCGGAAGCTCGGCAAGCTGGAATCTGCTGTAAGACATCCTGTGTGATATGTGAACAACTGTATTCTTGAGCAAATCATGGCTTTTGCCCTTAAAAATTTATATCTACTTAGAAGTTATTCACCTATAATGTCTCCATTGGATATAGATATGGAGAGGAATAAAAATAAAAAAAACCCTCTTGGGTTTACTGCCCGATGAGATATTACCCTGCTTTTATTTAAACAGTTCTTAGTGTTTTACCGTATAGTACCAATAATTTAAAAAATGTCTCTTAGCTTCAACATTAGGACTAGCTTTTTAGAAGATGTTTTTGTCATAAACTGAAGAACTGCAGCGCCCCATTGTGAAATGCTTTAGAGAGAATAGAATTATTAAGATATTAACCTATTCTCAAGTACCCATCTTTAGGTTCCCTCCACCCTGATTCTTATTTTGCTTATATATTTCCACATTAAAGGCTTTTGTAAGGAAATCAATGTGCCTAAAGCATTTTTTTTCTTCTTTAATGTCTACAGTTTTAAAATGTCTTCTTGTATGTTAGCTTCTAGTGTTTTTGTTTGGTTTGGTTTGATTTACTGATCCAGACAGCCTGGGCAGAACTAATTATCTTGTGAGTGCCCATTACTTTGGGTGCACGGATACGTTTTATTAGTTTCAAATGCCACATATTTATTAATTTCTAAAAATTCTAATTGTTATTTTGGCCTCTTCTTCACCAAAAGACACAAATTGCTTTAAAATACTTAAGTACATAATATTAGTTGACTGTCTGATGAACTGTGATTTTCCTGTGTCATCATAAGACTGTAGCTTAAATCTAATCGTCTCCCCTATTGAATGTGTGAAATAACCACTCAGGCCCTGGTAGCATTGTGTTGTTTGAATGCTGGGCTTATTTGCTCGCTAGCTTCACACTGCCTCAGAGCCTCTCTTGTTAAAGAAGAGCGTTTGACACTGGGAGTCTTGCCTGTGGAGTCCTAGGTCGGCACCGGGGAACACAGAGCAGTGTTGATTGGCGTCTTCAGACAGGAGAGACTATGTCCCTCTGGTAGGAAGCCCCTTAGTACAGTGTGTGCGTTATGAATGTGGCGTTTCATATTTGCTGTGCTATTTACAAGCTGTGTGCTTTTACAGTCATGAAATTCCTTAAAATTGAACGTGGGACTCCTCTTTAATTTCTTCTTTGACTCTCATTAGTGCCTCTGCTAGAACGCTAAATAAGATTCAGTTTCTTAATACGGGGAGGAAGAAAGAACCGTTCTGCGAAAATGAGGGAAAATTTTCCATTAGTGAGAGCTGTTCCATGTTATGAAATGGCAAAAATAAATAACGCAAAAGCCTGTAGGAGGAATTTCTAAGTGGGTCCAAACCAAATGACCTTCAGGTCCTCTCTAAATCTGGAATTTTATCTATGAAAACACTGAGGTTTGTCAGAAATGTTCAACCATCAACATAAGTGTCAAACTGGCCGTTGATTATGGAAATTTTCTCCCAAAATGGAAACAAGTAAACACATTTCTTGTGACCGTTTCATAATGGTTTTGCCCTGGACATTTGATGGCGTGGGGACTTCTCTCTCTGGTTGGCACTTGAATTGAAGCTCTTGGCCAAGCCTGGCTCTCAGGAGGAAATTCCAGGGGCAAGAGGACACATTAGTGTTCATAAAAGAAGAAAAAATGCAAAACCATCTGGCCTGGATTGCGAGACCATTCGAGGAGCTGCTATTTAGCTGTTAGATGGATTAAGTAGATTTTAGGCACATACATAAGTTAAAAAGGAAAAATTCAAGAATACTATTTACAGCATGGCTACTTTTGCATGCTTCTAAAAAGGCTCCGTGTAAATCTGTATGCATACTTTTCCCAAGTGGGATTTTTGTTTCTTATATCTTCTAAGATTACAATAGTTATATCATTTCCCCCTTCCCTTTTCCCCTTCCCAATCCTCTCCTATATCCCTTCTTGCTCTTTTTCAAATTCATGGTCTCTTTTCTTTATTAATTGTTGTTACAAAGTTATAGGTAAATACATACATTCCAAAACAGATAGATACAACCCACTGCCTCTGACGACTGCTACTTGTGAGTGTGTTTTCGGGGCCGCCCACTCTTCGCTTAGGAGACTGTTTCTCCCATCCTCAGCACGCCCCACTCGCCTGTGGGCTGAGACCTCGTAAGCTTCCTCTTGTCCGCTTTAGTGTCCAGTTGGGGTCATCCTGTGCAGCTCGTGTTTGGACAGAGAGTTTACGGGTGTGGCCTCTGATATTCCTAGGAGACACAGTCTCTCTTGATGAAGCTCTTCTGTGAGTTCTTACTGCAGAAAGAAGAGGAAACCGGAGAGGGCGGTCTTTCATTTTCATCTGGTCTGTTTTCATATCAATTCTGTTCTTTATGCACTTACTCCCTTATCTATTGGATGCTAACAGGTCTTACCTGGATCATGGGATTATAAGCCAAGTTTTTATTTCTTCTTATAATAGTTTTTACTCCCCAAAGGCTAGAGAAGGCTGATATGAACACCACCAAGACAGATTTTATAGCTCCATTTCTAAGCATGCAGAAGTACAGTCAAAGAAGCAGAGGGTGGGAGGTCAAGGTCTTCTTGCTTAAGACTGATTGCCCAATAAAAAGAAGTCTGAGCTGGAGCAGTGGTCAGATCTTCTGGGTCCTATCATGATCTCCAGTTATCCAATATGAAAGAAGGGAAAAGGTTGCGGAGAAGGGAGCCAGCTCTGCAGACACGTGCCCATTCGCTCATCCACTGGTGACTTTGCACAGCTTTAAAAGAGGCCCATCCATATCCACCGCTTTTCTTACCACGGGGATAAGACACAAGGTGCAGGAGGGGAGGCTTCCGAGAACCGCGGTTTCAGACATCAGCCTTCACAGAGGGACGATGTGGTGCAACAGAAAGCTTTATGTCGTGGTGGCTAGGAAACAGTGAATATGGGATTCAGGAGGAGCTCAGGGAAGACACAGCCCCAAAGGACCCACCACTGGTGACTTACCTCCTTTAGCTAGGGACTCCCTCCCAAGGTTCCCAGCACCTTCCCCAAAGCAGCACTACCAGTTAGGCACTATGCTCCCATCAGGAGAGCCTCTTGAGAGGATGCTACATATCTGAACTAGAATATCATCTCGCCTTGAGAGCTCCAGGGTCAATCCTAAAGCAACCTTAGAAGTTTTCATTCTTGACCCAAAAGGAAAACACAGTAAGATGTGTTACCCAAACAGACCTCCTTTCCCATATATCCTGGGATTCTCAGGTTCCTAGGTATTCTATTGAGGGGAGAGGTACAGTGTTGGAGATAACTGAGAAAGGCAAAGAGTCGAATGGGACTAAGGACCTAATGCTGGCCAGGAGGTTGGAAGCAGTACGTGTGGCCAGACTGACTTCCTGATTTCTCCTCCAGTCCTCCCAGATCAGCTATCCTCTGATTCTCTCATTGTTTATCTCTAGTCCACACTTCGGACTGTAACCTGACCTTGAATAGAGGTCATCTTGGGGTTGGCAACAGGCACTGTGAGGAACAGAACCCGAGTACTTGGAAAGTCTCATTACACTGCAATTTCTCTGTAATTACTGTATCATGTAGATCAAATCAGAAGTAGAGGAGGCACCCTCCTCATTTCCACTAGGACAGGGGTCTTAACAGACTATTGAGGCAACCTGCCAGTGAGCCCTTTTTCATCAGATACCCACCATTTGCAGCGGTGGGCAAGCTCTGAGACACTGCTCTAAATTGGCTGTTTTTTCTACCTGCCGCGTTGACTTTGCTCCAAGGGGCACTGGAGGTGACACATTTCAGCAGAGGCAGTGGCTCTGGTGGGAACCAAAGGAAGCAAGATTCTTAGGGTAGAGAATGAGAAACAGCCACCCGCCAGCAGAGGCATGAACCTTTGTGCAGGTGCCAAGCTTTTCACCCACTGAACATTGGAGGTGGATGTCATTTCCTTCACAGGTAAAAAGCAAGAAGCGGTGTGTGGCAGGGCCCTGTGATTTGCGGATGACTCAGCCTGTGACCTTTCGGGAAATCTCAGCGAGAGAAGGCAGGGAGTCTGAACTTGCTGTCTCAGAGCTTCAGAGGTAGCTGTTGCCACTGCTTCTTTACAGTTCCGGTGAAGAGGGTTCAGCTAACCTTCCCTCTTGACTCAAGGATATAAGCACCATTGGTCCCTGGAAAACACCTTTTGGACATGTATTTATTTTCTTGTTCCCATTTCTCTCTGTTCTTGAATTCTATTTTCTTGTGCAAGCCACAATAATTCCTACGTGTGTAGTATGCCGCCTTTGACTTGCATTCTTTATTGCAGAAGTTATTTCTTTGCAGTGTTAATTTATGTGTGTGTTCTAGCTCATTGTTTCTCACTTTACCCCTTGTTTATTCTGCTGCTGCTCCTAAAATCCATTTATGCTGCTATGCAGACCTCAGTTCTGCTGTATAGTCGTCCCTGGAATACCTGAATGATAATGATAAATTAAATAAACCACATTTAATTCCCAATCTTAATGAGGGGAACCAAGATAGCCTTCAACACGAGTAGCTGCAGATGTCTCCAGAGGAACTGAATGAGAATTTGGACTTTCTGTGTGCTCCCCAAGGTGAGTCCCCAGGGTGCTCCCCAGAATGCTTGCCAGGGCAGGCTCCTCTCAAGTCCTCCCTCTCTCCAGGTGTTTACAAGAGCAGTCACAGCTCACATCTGCCACCCCTGTCTTTCCATAGTTTATCCCTAACAAAGGCAGGCAGTAGCATCTCATTGCTGTCTTCACCTGCATTTCTCCTGCAGTTTTTTCACCTGCCGTGGTGGATGTGGAGTGCACCGCTCAGGTTCTTGCTTAGAAATTAGATGCTCAGTTCTCAGCTGCCAGAGTGTTGGTCTCTGAAAGCACGGAAGATCCAGATCCTTTATGGGGATTGCCTTTGGCCAAAGGAAGCCGCTTTACCCTAATTTGTGACCCACTCATGGGGGTAGCATCCACTCAGTGACTCATCATGCAGGGGTTCCATGTCTCTGAAGAGGCTAATACCCCATGGTATTGGTAGAGGCCTGGGCTACAGTGGAGCGTAGTTTAAACTCTTTAACTGTCCACTCTATTGTTTCTCTCACTTGGTCACTGCTACCCATAAGGCAAATTCCAGACCACACAGCTCTGCATCTCTGGGCCTGCAACCCAGGGAAATAACATGTGGCAACCTGCCAGCTTTAGGGAATGTTATTTATGTAACATCCGTTTCTCTCCCTTTTCCTATCCCAGTCATAAGTGTCCAAGATCCTTCCAGATTCTTCTCATCAAATCCTCATTCATTTAGATATTACAAGTCTAGGGGGCCGTGTGGTGATATTCAGTTTGTGTTTTAACGAATAAAACATGCCTGAAGATCAGAGTGCAGAGCTAGCCACACTAGTTAGCCATAGAGGCCAGGCAGTGGTGGTGCACACCTTTAATTCTAGCACGGGAGACAGAGGCAGAGGGGCATCTGTGAGTTTAAGGTCACCCTGGGCTACGAGATTGAATCAGTCTACAAGGGAGACAGAGCCAAGCAGTGTTGGCTCACACCTTTAATCCCAGCACCAGGGAGGTGGGGACAGGAGTGATATGGCTGGGTGGAGAGAGGAAGGAATATAAGGCAGGAGGAGACAGGAACTGTGGTTTCAGTCTGAGATTCATAGAGACAGCACTCAGTCTGAGGACTTGCATAGACAGGATACCCCGTCAAGTCTGAGGATTTCGTAGAGACTGACTGCTCTGCTTCTCTGATTTTTCAGCTTTCACCCCTTAACATCTGACTCTGGATTTTTGTTTTTGGTTTGTTTTATCAAGATAGGATTTCTCTGTGTAACAGTCCTGGCTGTCTGTCCTGGTACTCACTTTGTAGACCAGGGTGGCCTCGAGTTCACTGAGATTCTCTGCCTCCCAAGGATTAAAGGCATGCGCCGCCACCGCCTGGGCTGACTTGGGTTTTTATTATTAAACCAATTAGAATTGGCACTACATGCCCAGGAGATGATCCAGCGGGTAAAAAAAGCACCCGGTGCACAAACCTGGTGACTGAATTCCATCCCGAGGACCCATTTAAAGGTGGAAGGAGAGAACAAACTCCTAAAGGTTGTCCTTTGACCTCTTCCAGCACATGCATGCCCACACTCACACATACCCACATCATACACATATAAACACATACCATGCATACATGCTACAAATGATAAGTTCTTAGAAAATATTACAGATATCTGTACTTATTCTGCCACCAGTCTGTTAGCTTATCAGCGATGTACTTTTTATTAGACATTTCCTAATTTTGATATAGTCAAATTTACAAACTTTTGCTTGGTGATTTCTGTTTTTGAAATTTTGTCTTAATAGAGTTTCTTAGATGGCACAGATAGCTTTCTGAGCTCTGTTGTGCTGATTTTACTTCCATCCTTCAAGTTCTGACACACACAGTTCTTCATCAGAACTCTCTGCTCTGCTCCATTGGTCTTTTTGTGCGTTGTTTTGACTACTGTCAATATTATAAGGCTTTAATATGTCTTAATATCAGAGAGGGTAAGAGCTCCCCCTTCATTCTCCTTTGCTAGGCCTCTTCTCGGTGGTTCTCTCTGTCTAACCTAAGTGTCTTTCGTGTCCTGTCATTCCCTAAATTTTAGAGAAATTCAGCTCAAGTGGCTTGGACTTTTTATTCTGGCTTTGTTTGGGTCAGAAACACTTGGCTGGGCAGGCACAGAGGGCCTGCCAGCCAACATACCTAAATGGTGACTTGCATTGTTGGCAGTGCATGCACACACACACACACACACACACACACACACACACACACACACACAAGCATGGGCTGGGGGTAGGGAGGAACAGTCACAAGAATTCAAACCAAGAGATAGTATCTAGCTTGCACTGGCCACTGCAAAGCCCTGATTATTCTCAGCAGGTAGATCCAATCAGATTTAAGAGAAACTGTCAAAGGCACACAGATTTTAATGAGCCTGGGAACCTAATCAGAGGCGGTCAGAGCGGCCTTAACAAGGTAATTCCACTAAGGAGGACACCTTGTCTGGCTCCGTGGTGACTTGGCCTTGCCTCTGAGGATTGCAAGGTCTGGCAAAGGTTAGCTCTTTGCCACCCAACGTCTTCATCGCTTCTGCAACTTCCACCCATCTGTTCCCCGAAACTCAGCTTGAAGACATGTAGCAGTTTCACTTTTGTGATAATTAGGAACCTGTGAGCAGGCCACAGTTAGTCATCCTTGGTGTGAAGATGACAGGCGCTTCAGCTCTGGGGGTGCGGACGGGTTTAGACATGTCAGAGCTAGGGGTGAAGACAGAAAGAAGCTGGTACAGGGAACGGGGTGACTCATCCTGAAACCTTGAGCACCAAGGTCAAGGAGAGGGTGAAGACTTTCCAAACACAGTCTGCTTTGTGACGGGGAGGCTTCTGCTAACGACTGCTTTCTCTTTCCCTGAAGCCCATGAGGCCAAGGGATGAACTCTGGTCCGGTACAAGCAGCCTCCTGGCACTGACCTGGTTTTGCCACCCCTCTTCTGGGTGCCTGACTCTGCCTGGTCCCTCCCTACTCTATTTGTATGTGTGTGTGTGTTCCTTTAATTTATTATTTATTTATTTTACTGTTAGAACTTAAACCCAGGGCTTTGTGTGTACTAAGTCTGTGCCCTACCATAAGCTATTCCTCCAACCCCGTCCATAATTTTGAGAGTAAGTTCAGCTCACGTGATTGTTATCTTCCAGCTCTGTGTAGGCCAGAAGGCCCAGCTCGGCTGGCAGTAGCAGCGGCAGCGGCAGCTGTACCCTTCTCCCCTGATGCTGTACCCATTAGTCTCACATCCCATATCTTTTCCCAACACTCTTACTTCCAAGGCCAGAGCCTTTGAGAACAGACATGTTCAAGTGACGGGGTGTGGTGCTGTTCCTCTCGGGGTTCCGCACTGTACAGTCTACACAATGCCCGCTGCTGGCTTCATGTGTATGATTGCTTGGTCCTGTGGCTCTTCCTATCTGGCCTGAGTCTGTCCCCCATCCTGCACTCACACTGGGGTACAGAGAAGTCCATTATCACCTTGGGGGAAAGGGTTTTATAATGTCCTGGTTTCATTCCGTTGCTATGATAAAGCATTCTGACCAAAAACAACTTGGGGAAGAAAGGGTTTATTTGGCTTACATTTCCAGGTTGCCATATGTCATTGAAGGAAGTCAGGGCAGAACCACGAGGCAGGAAGCTTGAAGCAGAAACCATGGAGGAGTGCTGCTTGTTGGCTTACTCCCAGACCTATGCTCTCCAAAGTGTTCCTATACAGCCCAGACCCACCTGCCTATAGATGGCGCAACTCACAATAGTTTGGGTTCTCCCGCGCCAATCACCAGTGGTCTAGGCTCTCCACATCAGTCACCAATGGTCTAGGCTCCCCCTGTGTCAATCACCAATGGTCAAGGCTCTCCTGCGACAGTTACCAATCAAGACAATGCCCTACCAGTTTGCCCTCTCCGGGTGACTCTAGTTTGCATCAAGATGACAGTTGAAGTTAATTAGGTGTCTTGGCTCGTTTTATGTCAGCTTGATACAAGCTAGAGTCAGAGAGGAGGGAGCCTCCGTTGAGAGAATGCCTCCATTAGTTTTTAGACAAGCCTGTAGGATGTGAGAGCGCCAATCCTATTGTATTGGGGGGAGACACCCCTGAGCTAGTGGCCATGGGTTCTGCAAGCAGCCTGAGTAAGCTATGGGGAGCAAGCCAGTAAGCAGCATTCCTCTGTGGCTTCTGCATCAGCTCTTGACTCTAGGTTCCTGCCGTTTGTGTTCCTGCCTTAACTTCTTTGGACATGATGATGTGCAGTGTGGAGGCATAAACCAAATAA